ACCAAAAATACAATGAAATATTTTTTTAAAAAGTTCAAAAAAACTGTGGAACACAGCTAAAGCAGACACAAGAGGGAAATTTATAGCACTAGATACATGCATTCAAAAAGAGGAAACTCTCAAATCAAAAATGTAAGCTCCTAACTCTAAAATCTAAAAAAAAAGAAAAACCCAGAGCAAACAAAAAGAAGGAAATAATAAGAGATGAAATTGAAAATAAAACAAACAAAAAAAAAATCAATGGAACAAAGAGCTGGTTCTTTGAAAATATCGATAAAATTGACAGATCTCTAGCAAGAATCACAAGGGAAAAAAGAGAAGACATAAGTCGTCAATCTCAGGAATGAAACAGAAGATACTGCTACAGACCCTGCAGACATCAAAAGAGACCCTGCAGACATCAAAAGGATACTAAAGGGGAAACTACAAACAACTCTATACATATAAATTTGACAACTTAGATGAAATGGACCAACTCCTAAAAAAAACACACACTACCACAACTCACCCAATATGAAACAGATCATTTTAATCGCCCTATAACTATTAAGAAAACTGAATCCAGATTTTAAAACTCCCCCAAAAAAGGAATCTCTAGGTCCAGATGGTTTCACTGGAGAATTTTACCAAACTTTTAAAGAAGAATCTTCCAGAAAATACAAGATAAGGGAACTCTTCCCAACTCAATTTATGAGGCCAGTATTTCCCTGTGGTAGAATGAAAAATGTCCCCCCAAAAGATATCCATGTCCTAATCCCTGGGACCTATGAATTTCACCTTATATGTAAAAAAAGGGGGGAGAGTGACTATGCAGATGTGATTACGTTAAGGATCTTGAGATGGAGAGATGATCCTGGATTATCCAGGCCCTAAATGCAATCACAGGTATCCTAATAAGAGGGAAGCAGAAGGAGTTTTGACACACACAAAGGCAATGTGAAAATGGGGCAGAGAGAGATTTGAAAATGTCGGCCTTGAAGATTGGACTGATTTGGCCACAGGCCAAGGAAGACCGGAAGTTGGAATAGGCAAGGAACAGGTTCTCCCCTAGAGCCTCCAGGGTAAGCACAGCCCTACTGACACATTGATTTTGGCCCAGTGATACTGATTTGAAGCTTCTGGCCTCCAGAACTGTTAGAGAATATATTTCAGTTGTTTTAGTCTACCGTGTGTGGTAATATTATAGCAGCCACAGGAAACTAACACATTCCTATACCAAAACCAAACTAAAAAGAAAACTACAAGCTAATCTTGTTGTTGTTAGGTGCCATCGAGTCGATTCTGACTCATAGCGACCTTATATATAACAAAACGAAACAATGCCTGGTCCTGTGCCATCCTCACAATTTTTGCTGTGCTTGACCCCACTGTTGCAGCCACTGTGTCAGTCCATCTCATTGAATGTCTTCCTCTTTTTCGCTGACCCTCTACTTTACCAAGCATGATGTCCTTCTCCAGGGACTGGTCTCTCCTGATAACGTGTCCAAAGTATGCAAAACGAAGTCTCATCTTGCCATCCTTGCTTCTAAGGAGCATTCTGGCCGTACTTCTTCCAAGACAGATTTGTTGGTTCTTCTGGCAGCCATGAATATTCAATATACTTTGCCAACACCATAATTCAAAGGCATCAATTCTTCTTCAGTCTTCCTTATTCACTGTCCAGCTTTTGCATGCATATGAGGCAACTGAAAATATCATGGCTTGGGTCAGGAGCACCTTAGTCCTCAAAGTGACATGTTTCCTTCTCAACACTTTAAAGACGTCTTCTGCAGCAGATTTGCCCAATGCAATACAAGCCAATATCCCTCATGAATACAGACACAAAAATTCTTAACAAAATATTAGCAGATTCAGCAATATATTAAAAGAAGTATATACCATGACTAAGTGAGGTTTATTTTAGGAATGTAAGGCTGGTTCAATATTCAAAAATCAATCCTTATAATCCACCATGTTACCAAGGTAAAGAAAAAACACATGATCAAATCAACGCAGAAAAGCATTTGACAAAATTAAACATGAATTCCTGTGGAAAAAAAAACTCTCAAAAAATAGGAATAGAATGGAACTTCTGCAACTTAATAAACCGCATCTAAAAAAACCTCACAGGTAACACCATATGTACTTAATGTGAAAAACCGAAGATCAAGAACAATGCAAGGATGTCCACTCTCACAACACTTACTCAATATAGCACTGGAAGTTCTAGCCAGTGCAATAAGGCAAGAAAAGGAAATAAAAGGAACACAAAATAGAAAGGCAGAAATTAAAACTGTCCCTTTCTAAAGATGAAATGACTGTCTATGTAGAAAATCTCAAGGAATCCAAAAATTCTTAAAACTAGTAACTGCATTCAGCGAGGTCAAAGGATACAAGATAAACATACCAAAATCAACTGTATCTCTATACGTTTGCAACGACAACACAGACACCAAAATAAATATTATAATACCATTTAATCACTGGAAAAAAAAAGAAATACTTAGGTGTAAATATAAGAAAATATGTACACAGCTTGTATGCTGAAAACTACAAAACACTGATAAAAGAAATTAAAGATCTAAGTAAATACAGAGACATACCATGTTCATAGATTAGAGACTCAACATAGTAAAGATGTCAATTCTCCCAAAATTGATAAACAGGGTTAATGTAATTCCTATCAAATTCCCAGCAAGACTTTTTGTAGATATGGGACAACACTATCTGTCCTCTAGGGCCGCTATGGGTCAGAACTGACTCGCGGCAACAGGTATTCTAAAATTTATAAAGACAAAGGAACTAGAAGAGCTAAAACAATATTGAAAAAAAATAATGTAGGAGTAATCAGTCTACTGAATTTCAAGTCTTATTATATATAGCTATAGGAATCAAGACTGTGCATGGAGGGATAGACACACAGATCAATGGAATAGACAAGAGAGTCCAGAAATAGACCCGTATGACAAATATGCCCAACTGATTTTTTACAAAGATGCAAAAGAAATTCAATATAAGTAACAAAGCCTTTTAGAAAAAATCTTTCAGGAAAAAAACACAGGAGAAAATCCTTGGGATCTAGGGCTAGGAAAAGAGCTTTTAGACTTGACACCAAAGACACAATCCATTAAATGAAAAACTGATAAACTGGACTTCATCAAAATTTAAAACTTTTGCTCTGCAAATGGCCCTGTTAAGTGAATAAAAACACAAACTACTGACTGGGAGAAAATATATGCAAACCATATATCCAACAGTGAAAAACTCAACAGTGAAAAAACAAGAAATCCAATTAGAAAACGGGTCAAAGACATGAACAGACATTTCGCTGAACAGGATATAAAGACAGTGTGATGGATGGCTTTTATGTGGCCTTTTCTCACCATGCTCTTGTAATTCCCACCCAAGTGACTGGGTAGGACTGTGCAAATAAGGTGATTGTGGCCCACCAAGGGGACTGGTCAGCTTTGCCATCCCATGAGGCTTAAAATGAGCCATCCCAGAGGTGGGAAGAGAGGAGCTCACCACGACCAAGAAAGAAGGGCCAAGAGTGGGGTGCATCCTTTGGACCTGGGATCCCTGCACTAAGAAGGAGACCAAGACAGGGAGAGAGCGAGCTATAACACTGAAGACGGCGAGAAGCAGTGGTAGAGAAACCGCGGCAGGAGATGGCACAGTGGGCTTCCTGGCCCACAGAGCGAGAAAGCTGAGTGCCTTTGGGCCAAGGTTTACTGGTGGAGTGGAGTATCTCTGTGCACTTATTGGCAGAGCTAAAAGAGTTTTGTAACGCTTGCCTGAGCAGGGGCAGAGGTAGAGGGCCAGAGAGAGGTGTGCCTGCAGCACAGCTGGGAAAAGGCTGTCCTGATGGAAGAACTGTATCCTGAGTGTTCCTGAGCCTGAATTGTAATCCGTCACTTCCCTAATAAACCCCATAACTGTGAGTATTGTCTGTGAGTTCTATGTGGCCACTGCAATGAATTATCAAACCCAGCAGAGAAGCAGAGAGTGCTGTGGGAGGGATGGATGGTGTCGGAATTGGCAAAGATGGCGGACAGAGGAGGCATATCTGAACTCCACCTCATAGGAATCAGCCTTGGGCTGTTGATCTTGGTCTTCCTTCCTGCTTTTGAAGTTAGAGGAGGTCAAATACCACGACCCCCCCCCAACCAGTTTTACAGGTGGGAAATATGCACATGAAAAGACATTCAACATTATTAATCATTAAGGAAATTAAAATCACAATGAAATATCACTACACACCTATCAAAATGTCTAAAATAAAAACTAGTGACAATACCAAATGTTGACAAGGATACAAAGAAACTGGATCATTCATGTACTGCTGGTAAGAATGTAAAGTCATATAGTTACTCTGGAAAAGAGTTTAACAGTTTCTTTTAAAAGTTAAAATGTACTTAGTATACAATCCAGCAACTGCACTTGTGTGTACTTACCCCAGAGAAATGGAAAGTTATGTTCACACAAAAACTTGTATACAAATGTTTATATTTACAGCATCTTTATTGATAATAGTCAAAAACTGGAAACAATGAAGATGTTCTTCAACCGGTATATGGTTAAACTGTGGTACATACACACCATGGAATACTACTCAGCAATCAAAAGGAACAGACTATTGATAGACGCAACAACCTAGATGAATCTCCAGAGAATTATGCTGAGCGAAAAAAGTTAGTCCCAATTATTATACTGTATAATTCCATATATAATATTCTTGAAAAGCCAAAATTATAGAATTGGGGATCAGCTTAATGGTTACCAAGGGTTAAGAAGGGAGTACGGAGGAAAGTAATTGTGAGTATAAAAGGGAAACACGGGGGATCCTTTTGGTTATGGAAATGTTCTATGTGCGAATATTCTGGCTGTGTTATTGTACCAAGGTTTTGCAAGATGTTACCATTGGGGGTAACTGGATAAATGGTCCATTGCATTTGAATCTACAATTATCTCAAAATAACAAGTTCATCTAAAAAAGGAAAAAGTAGGTTCCTCTTCCTTACCTCAAATGATCTGCCAGGTTCTCCTGGAACCAGGGCAGGGAACCTCTGGGGTGATTTCCCATTAGCTGGCATGTTCACCCTGGGCCTCAGCCCACCTTCCAAAGCTGGAGGGAGAGGTGTCTGTATGTGGGCTGGGGTTGGAATGAATGGAAGATCCTGCAGCCTCCAGTAAGGGGTAAGGCTTAAGAGCTCCACAGAGAAACCAAGAAATCCTAGAAGGACAGTATTCATGCCATCAGTATCATTCCACATTCACCCACAAAGTTCAGTAACTCCCAGCTCTGAGTATTAGAGTATTAGTATTAGTGGATTATAAAAACAATCATGACATTTGGAGTCAAATTGATAAGTTTGAACCCACTTATTCTAGGGTAGCTCCACAGGGGGCCTCACACCTTACCCAGCCAGCCCACCCCTCAATTCCAGGTTCAAGGCAGATCTGGCTTCTGGACAGGAGGTGGAGGAGACTGGCGCACTGAATCGAGCTGCAGCCCCATGGGGTGAGGAACAGGGGACTTGTCCATGGGGATCTGGTGGGTGACTGTGCAGGCAGGAAACCTAGCAACATGGTAACCTGAATGAAAGGGAATGGGTAGTCCTTTCTGCCTTCTTTAGTTACTTTTGCCATTTTAGTGTGAAAAATCTCTCTTAAACTCATCTACAGGGAAGCTTTTTGCCTCTTTTTTCAAGAAGTAGATAGTTCAACATTAATAATATTAACATTATTCATTAAGTCAGCAAATTAGGGGGAAAACATGCTGCTATTAACTTACCCCAAAAATGCATTTGTCACAATTCAGCAGTCATTACTAACAAGAATGTAAACTAAAATTGGGACATAAGTAAAACACTTAAATCTCACAAAAATCATTTATGAAACACAACCCTGAAATAAATCCAAAAACCAAACCCACTGCCATCTAGTCGATTCCGACTCAGTGATCCTGCCTTGGAAACTCTATGGGGCAGTTCTACTCTATCCTATAGGGTCACTATGAGTCAGAATCAAACGACAGCAATGGGTTTGGTTGGTTTTTTGTTAAGTGCTGTCTTGCTATTTTGGAAAACAAAGAGCACCTTAATTGCTCGGGCTATTTTCAGAAACCAGAGACAACGGCAAAGCCAAGTCTTTGTCCCACACAATATAAACTACTTAAGAATAAACTTCTTTTTAAAGGAGCTGCACTTACACGATTAAAAATGTTTAAAACATTTTTGACAAATATAAATAATCAGACTTATTATACTCCAGGATAAGATTTAATAAAAATGTCAACTCTCCCGAAGGTATTATATTAATGTAAAAAATGAATCAAAAATAAAAATTAAACATATCTCAATAATAAGAGGGTGTATAAAATTTTGTGAAATGAAGCTAAAGAGTTTCTTAAAGGGTAATTTTGTTCTTAAATATATTTTAAGAAGAAAGTCTATACGCTAATGAATTAATATCCAACTTACGTTAGAAAAAGAACGATGGAATTTAACTCAAAGAGAATAGTACAGAGAAGATATTAAGAAAACATAAAACAAAGGTACATCAGAGAGGATCAACTAGACCAAAGCTGGTTCATTGGAAAGATCACTGAAAATAAAATTAGGAAGTCTCTGGAGGAGGAAAAACCTAAACACAGGCTATTAAGACATGACAAGAAGCAGCAGTTAAATCTAAAAACTGACTACCCTTGGGGCCCCCATCCCTGACGCCTCCGCCAGATTGCCATTCACCAGATTCTTTACAAACTGACAATTAATCATCCCGAAAAGCCAAGGAAGCCATCACTTACCCCTCAAAATCACCTCGGTGACTCTCACGACATTAAACCTCGTGCACCGCGCCGCGCGCCAATAAAACGGCCTCTGAGGGCCACTTCCGTTTCCTAACGCTTCCGTCACCCCTGACACTGCCCTTTCTAGGGCTGCTGGTTTTTCACAAGACCATAAGGGCTGGCGAGGTTGTAGTCTACCCACACACACAACAAGGCGCAATTAGGAATCTTCCGCGACTTTCCGGGTTCAGTGTCCCTGAGTGGCGTTGTCAGGCAAGGAACATGGCTGCGCTTAAGCAGCTTCTATACGAGGGCCGCCATCTTAGCGTCCACTCCGTACAGTAGGACTGTTTCACAGAAGGCGGGGCGGGGGGGTTGGCCGGGGATTAAGGGGTAGAAACCTGAAGGTATCCGGAAGGAACTAGTCTTGGAACTAAGTTCTATAGATTTCTGCAAAGTTCAGAGAAGCAAAGGTATCCTTTCATCACGGGGGTGTGTCCTGATCCTCAAGGGAGATACCACTGCGTAAAGGAGAAAAAGTCAGAGTTACAGTTGTCACTGGGGAGACGGAGAAGATGGTACAGTCCCCCCCCCCCGGCCGATACCACCGGGCAAAAGGGGGAATGAATCAGAGTGGCACAGCCCCCTCCTTGAAGATACACCACCAGGAAGAAGGGGAGAAGTCAGAGTAATACATTAAAGTTATTTACTGGTTGCCATGGAGTCGATTCCGACTCACAGCGACCCTGTAGGACCGAGTAGAACTGCCCGACAGGGTTTCCAAGGCTGTGATCTTGACGAAAGCTGACCGGCCACATCTTTCTCCTGCCGAGCGCCTGGTGGGTTAAAACCGCCAGTTTTCGTTTAGCAGCAGCCCAGCGCTTAACCATTGCGCCACCAGAGCGCCTTACTAAAATAAAAACAACATTGCCTGTCGAGTGGATTCCGACTAATAGCGACCCTATAGGACAGAGTAGAACTGCCCCATAGGGTTTCCAAGGAGTGGCCTATGGATTCAAACCGCAGACCTTTTTGGTTAGCAGCCTTAACTTTTTTTTTTTTTTTTTACATACATTGTTATGAGACCCTAACCGCTCACCCCATTCTGCAACAGCACACTCCTCCCCTCCGCCCCTGATTCCCCATGAACATTCAACCAGCTCCTAACTCTCTTTGCCTTCCCATCTCACCTGTGGACAGAAGCTGCCCCTTTGGTTCCTTGTATCTACTTGACTAAGAGGCATATTCTTCACAAGTATCACTTTATATCCCACAGTCCAGTCCAATCCCTGTCTGAAGAGTTGGCCTCAGAAATTGTTTTAGTTCTGGGCTGATAAGAGAGTCCAGGGACCATGCTTTCTGGGGCGCCTCCAGTCTCAGTCAGACCATTAAGTCTGGTATTCTTACTAGAATTTGAATTCTGCATCCCATCGTTCTACTCCTCCATCAGGGACCCTCTGTTGTGTTCCCTGTCAGGACATTCATTGGTGGTAGCCAGGCACCATCTAGTTCTTCTGGTCTCAGGCTGATGAAGTCTCTGGTTTACGTGGCCCATTCTGTCTCTTGGGCTAATACTTTCCTTGTGTCTTTGGTGTTCTTCATTCTCCTTTACTGCAGCCTTAACTCTTAACCACTGTGTCACCAGGGCTCCACTAAAATGATAGTAAACCAAAAAACCAAACCCACTGCCAACAAGTGGATTCTGACTCAAAGCGACCCTATAGGTCAGAGGAAAACTGCCCTATAGGGTTTCCAAGGCTGTAATCTTTACTGAAGCAGACTGCCACATCTTTCTCCCACAGAGTGGTAGGTGGGTTGAACTGCCAACCTTTCTGTTAGCAGCCAAGCGCTTTAACCACTGTGCCACCAGGGCTCTGTAAAATGGTGGTAGATAGGAATAATAAAAATAATAGCCTTTGATATGGACAGCTAATATTTATCAGCAAATTGTCAGTAGAAAAAAGTCTAGAAAACTTCATAAGCATTATTTTGATGAAAATGCATCCCTAAAACACTTTCCCAATTTCTGCTGCTAACCAGGTTGCAGACACTTAGCCTCTCATATGGAAATTCAGAATCTGTTACTGACTCTTGGAAGAGAAGACAGAATTCTGGATGCTCTTTACCTCTGAACTCCTATACATTCTTCAAAACCTGTTGTTATTAGGTGCCATCAAGTCGATTGTGACTCATAACAAAAAACACTGCCATCGAGTTGATTCCCACTCATAGTGACCCTATATGACAGAGTAGAACTGCCCCATAGGGTTTCCAAGGAGTGCCTGGTGGATTCAAACTGCCGACCTTTTGGTTAGCAGCCAGTAGCTCTTAACCACTATGCCACCAGGGTTTCCATAGTGACCCTGTATACAGCAGAATGAAACACTGCCCAGTCCTGCGCCATCCTCACAATCACTGCTATGTCTGAGCCCATTGTTGCAGCCACTGTGTCAATCCACCTTGTTGAGGGTCTTCCTCTTTTTTGCTGGCCCTCTACCAAGCATGATGTCCTTCTCCAGGGATTGGTCCCTCCTGATAACATGTCCCAAGTACGTGAAACAAAGTCTTGCCATCCTGGCTTCTAGGGAGCCTTCTAGCTGTACTTCTTCCAAGACAGATAGGGTCGCTATGAGTTGGAATCTACTCAATGTCAATGGGTTTGGTTTTGGTCTTCAAAACCTACTTCATGTTGGAGGCGGGGCCAAGATGGTGGCGTAGTCAGACAGCTGCCTATATCCCTCTTACAACAAAGACTTGGAAAAACAAGTGGTTTGATTGAATATGAATATCTAGGATCCCTGAACAAGGCAAAGTTAAGAAGTCGGACTGAGTGGCGGAGGGAGAGGGAGATGGTTTGGAGGAAGCAAGCAGCACCAGAGCTGCAGCGGCTGGACTGCAGCTCTTCAGCCACTCCGGGTCCACAGTGAAGCAGGCAAACAGCTGTGTGCATGCTCAGGAAGCAGTTTCCACAACGAGAGAGATCGGGCAGCAGAGATTCTGCTTGGAAGCTCCGAACCAGTAAAAAGCAGCTCCCAAGAGGCTAAAGATAAATACATGTGTACGGCCTTTCGCGGGGATTTTAAAAAACGGGAAAAAAAACAGCCCTTTTGGGAAAAACCTCTCTCCCTTTTACCTCCTCCCTCCCTGCTGTGCACCAGGAGTCCACTGGGCTGGAAGTAGATCCCAAAAGGCGCCCTGACCCATTCTCCTGGCCTTGGAGAGGGAACAAATAAGCTACTGGCTCCCCTAAGCAAGG